AAATCTTTCACTCTTGGAACCAGTTTAGAAATGCAAAAAAAAAAAATTGTTCTCACAGAGAGCAATTTTCAGTCTAACATAATGAAATTGAAATCGTTTAAGAACGAGTTCAATTTTTACGGTTGTGCTGCACATTTTCACTGTCACTGGTCGCCGGCCGATGCTTCTGAAATGAGATGGAGAAGAGCAGAAACTAGAGTGGTTGTCGACTTGTTGTTGATTACTAGGCGATGCTTCAGAGCTAATGGTGCTGCGAACTGCCGAACTGAAAGCTTGAATCGATGGAAGAAGATGAAGACTGAGGATGGTCGCTGCGAACTATTGAACTGCTAATTGATGGTCGTCGCCTGGCTCTTGCTGGTTAGCGGTCGCTCTTTGGTTGTTGCTGGTCAGATTGGAGACCGGAGTGAGTGGCTGAGGGTTGAGGATTTGGCGACAGCGAGTTGAGGGTGAGAGACTGAAAGTGAGAGTGAGAGTGTGAGATAAGTCGAGGGAGGCTAGGGCAATTGAAGGAAAAAAAAAAAAAACCAAGACTGAAAAAATAATGGTTAAAAACTTAAAATATAATAAACTCTTATAATATGTATTATTATATTATATACTATATATTATTATAATTATACTATATAATGATAGATTTTCCGGGCAGGGCTAAACGGGTAGGATAAGATATCTTACCTACAGCCCGTCCTTGCCTGTGATTAGCCCTACCTAAAAGTGTCCCTTTTTTTCAGGTTGAGCTTTTTTTCTCGGGCTCAGGTGGGCACAATAGGCTAGCGGGCATTATGAACACCCCTACTTTGCACCATTTCTCTGCATCCCCTAGCCTTTTAGTTTTTATTAGTGGTATATGAAAAAGAATTAAGTTAAGCAATTGTCTAATCTGAGCTGGGACTTTTTTTTTATGGTTGAAGTACGTCGAGTATCCCAAAATATTTTATTAGATGTCTTTAACATCTTAAAATATTTTATAGTGTATTTAGTATTTTGAAGTATTTTTTTAAATGTATCCAATAGCCTAAAGTATTTTGTGGTACATCTAATATTTTGAAATATTTTTTTAGATGCATCTAGTACTCTAAAAAATACTGAAAAATACTTTATGGTACTTAATATACATTCATTTAATGAATCTTTTAAAAAGTTAGAAATGAAATTAAAACTGCTCATAAAATAATACTTTAAAAACACAATTGCTTTTAAAAAAAATTAATACTTTGACTATAAAATTATACCATAAAAATATTTTAAGGTGCTAAATGGACTAGAAAAAATACTTCAAGGTGCTAGACGCACTATGAAATATTTTAGGACACTAGATGCATCACCCCTTTTTTTTAATTTGGTTCCAAGTTATTGATAAAAAAATTTATATATGCTATTAATGACAGAATATAGTTAAAAAATTGATGAAATATATTTATTATGGGTAATGTGAATAAGCTAGCACAACAAATTTGAAAACAAAAATAAATATACCATTGATTTTAATAATTCTCACCATTAAAGCCTATTTGAAATTATAATTATAAGTATTTATAATCATATTTCATGTAAGTTGAGATCAAAATTTTTTTTGTATACTTACCTCGTATTCTATGAATCATGATTGAAGAATTGTTTATAAGTCATTTTAAATAGGCCTTAAATTTAAACAGTTCACATTTAATATCATATAAAAAATAATATATATAATATTTTAATTAAATTATAAAGATGTGAATTGTTTAAAGCAAAAATTTCAATTAAGGACCATTATAGCCCATTTATTTCAAATAGTCCCCAAAATATTCTGAAATGTCACGGTAGGATCGAAAGAGCAAACTAAAATTAATTTGAAAATAGGAAAAACATTGTCATCCCTCAAAACTGTGACCTTGATATTAGGTCAAGCTTTTCCCCCTCTCTCTAAAATTGCTAATAACTCAAGCTCTTTTCTCTCTCACTCTCTAAAAAATTTGATGTATGCGTTGAGAGAGATCATTCACTGTCGTTGTTGTTCTGGTAAGGAGAACCTTCACCGTCACTACTATTCTAGCATGAAGTGTCTTCGTTGTCAGTGCTGTTCTCGTAACAAGAGCTTTCACTGCCTTTCCATTCAAAAAATTTTGCAATAATACTATAAAATCCGTCTCTATTTCCTCTATTATAGATTTTATGGGTTTTGTTTAGGCTATCGTGAAGTTTTGAACCAGTGAAAAAAAATTTTACTACTCAGATTTGAGATAAAATCATTCAGTTGATTGATTTCAAATTCACATAATTGAGTGTTGAGAGTAAAACTTCCAGTTCATATCATGAATTATATTGTGAATTTGCAAATTCCACTTCTCCAGGAAAAATGGTGATTTGGTGTTGTGAAAACTCATATTTTTGTTGTAAGTTCCCAAATTTCTATTATAAATGTATACTGTTTTAATTATTAAAAATTAATTGAAATTAATACTTCATTGATGTGCAGCAACCTATTATATATGGCTAGCAGCAGTGAATTAAATGTTTATGAGTTTATTAATTATTTTAAGTTTTTATTGTTGCACTTGTGTGAATATATTGATGGTTCTTATCCTTGTGCCATAGAAACAACACACTGTACTAAGGTCTGAGTCGTTGTGGTGGCTCATTACTCATATAAAAAATACGAAGTTAGGCGCTATTGGAAAACTACTTCAATAGATAAAGACACAACCAGCCAAAAAAAAAATAAAGCGATGACATAGCAATTATTATATTTCTATTTGAGATATAATTTTAGCTACTTTAGAATGTGATCAAATTTGTGTATAGAGAATTTGTACAATTTCTGTTTTAGGGAATATATATTATGAGTATGTTTCATATCAATTATTCTAATCTTTTGCCTATCCCCACCGGTTTACAAGTATATGATATACTAATAACAAATGAAATTAGGGTATTTGTAATAAGGATACATTGCTTAACAACTTTATGTTTTGAAAATGTGATTGTCATATTGACAACTAAAATTAGAAAATTTGCAAGACAGATACATATACTAACAACAAGAATATGTCTATTTACAAGTAAATCAGTCGAATTAAAGAAGTTGAACATGATAATTCACGTATGAGAGGGACTATGTGCAACAAGAATTAAAAAATTTGCAAGAAAGATATGTATATTAACAAACAAGAACACATCCATTTACAAGTAAACTAGTTGAATTGAAGAAGATGAATATGATAATTCACAAGCCTGTGAGGGACTATTTACAAGTGGAATTAGACAATTTGCAAGATGGATACACCCATTAACAATATAAATGTGTCCATTTGCAAGTGGATTTATTTTATTTATAAAGTTAAATAGAACAATTCACAAATCTGGGACCAACGGTTCACAAGTGGAATTAGGACATTTCTAATAGAAGTATACCCATTAACAACATAAATACATCCATTTTCCAGTGGATTAATTTGTTCTGCCATTTACATAGATGCTAGTCAATTTTAGTGCAGTACTTTATATATCATTTTGCTTTCTAAGGTCTTCACATATTTGCTTCCCACATGAGAAATGCAAAATAATTTCTTTCCATTGTCTCTAGCCATATATAATACGTTGCTGCACATCATACAAGGATTAATTTCAATAAATTTTTAATAATTAAACACAGTATATGTTTATAGTAGGAATTTGCAAATTTATAACAAAAAATACAAGTTTTCATAACACCAAATCACCATTTTCCTGGAGAAGTGAAATTTGCAAATCACAATACAATTCATGATAGGAATTGAAAGGCTTACTCTCAACACTTAATGATGTGAATATGAAATCAATCAACTAAATAATTTTATCTCAAATCTGAGTAGTAAAAAAATTCCTCATTGGTTTAGAATTTCACAACAGCCCAAACAAACCCATAAAATTTACAATAGAGGAAATAAAAAAAGATTTTGTAGTATTATATGCAGAAAATTTTGAATGGAAAGGCAATGAAAGCTCTTGTTACCATAATAGTACCGACAGCGAAGGCACTCCATACTAGAATAGTAGTGACAATGAAGGCTCTCCTTACCAGAACAACGATGACAGTGAATGATCTCTCTCAATGCATACAACGGATTTTTCAGAGAGAGAGAGAGAGAGAGAGAAGAGCTTGAGATATCGGCAGTTTTAGAGAGAGGGGGAAGAGCTTGACCTAATATCAAGGTCACAGTTGAAGGAGAACAATGTCTTTTTTGTTTTCAAATTAATCCTAGTTTGCTTTCGGTCCTGTAATGACATTTCAAAATATTTTGGGGCTGTTCGAAATAACTTGGCCCCAATGGTCTTTAATTAAAATTTTCCCTTATTTAAATCAAATTTTCATATTTAAGTTTGTTTACATACATTTTTAATTTATTGATATTAAAATAATATTTTTTTAGGATATTAAATATCGACAATTCAAAGTTGATCTAATAATGAGAATAAAGAATTATAGGATATTAAAAAATTGAGTCATAATTAAAATCAATGGTATATTTATTTGTGTTTACAAATTTGGTGTGCCATAATAAATATGTTTCATTTTTTAACTATATTCTATCATTAATAACATATATAAATATTTTATCAATAATTTGGAACCAAATAAAAAAGAATCCGGGCTCAAAGTCAAATAAGACTATTGTTTAATTGAATCCTTTGTCATATACCACTAATAAAAAGCGAGGGGATGCAGAAATACGGCGCAAAGCTTCCTTCAAATCAATATTCTCGGCGCGTGTTACAAGGGCCAGGGATGACTTATTGGAAATGTGCAGAACAACAATAAAAATTGAACTCGTTCACTTCTTAAACGATTTCAATTTTATTATGTCAGACTGGAAATCATTCCCTGAGAGTACAATTGTTTTGCATTTTTAAACTCGTTTCAGGGGTGAACAATTTGAAATATAACAATTGGTACTTATTTTTGTGCAGCATTTGGTTAAATTTTTTACTGTTTATACTAGTATCTGGGTGAAAACAAAAGGCCTCTAAACACCTGCTTAGAACAAGTCAGTCATTTGACAATCACAGTCTTGAAGCACAGAATCTAATATTGAATCATTGAACATACCCTGCTGCTTCTCTCCTAGGTCCTTGAAGCTGTCATCCCACGTTGAATCAAACCCAAGCATCTGGGCATGAAGAGGGTATGATTCCATCAGGTCAGTGTTATCATCACCAATAAGTCGCTTTATTGGATCAGATACAACATTGGCTTCATCACTCATATTCTGCATAAAACAAAGTCCAGGCGCGTTTCTGAAACATCATGATGAGAAGGAATTACAATAATAGGGATCTCCAAACAATGATCGTTCAACAAATCCAAACCCACTGGAACCACAGGAATCTCTGATTTCTTTGCGTTCAGCAACCCAATTGTCTGATCACACTCTTGGAGCTTACAATCCAACGCAGCAATAAACATCCTCATCTGATCCTCTCCCAGGTTGTCAAAGCTGTCATCCCAGGTTGGACACAACATCTTCAATCTCTGTTCACGGACTCCGGAGGTCTCAGCTTCAACCTGGTTCTTCCTATCAGTGAAGAACTCACGGAGATCGTAGTTCTTTCTTCGTTTCTCGGGGCATTTCTTCTTGGCGTTATACTCTTGCAGATTGCGAATCAACTGTGTGGGATCCTGGGGAAAGGTCTCAGCTTTAGGGTTTTCAGAATCTGGAGGAGGGAAGATAATCACACAGGCATCAATCCCACAGAGTGTGGAAAGTTCAGAAGCTTTCTTCAATAAACCCTTCTTCCTCCTCTCAAACAAAGCCCGGCGAGCATTCCTGCTCTGGAGGGTCTTCATCGTCAATTTTCTTCGACCCATTGTTTCAGACAAGTGCAGAGATGGATTACTGCCGAAGAAGAACAGAGATGAAGTCCGAATATAATCTGAATCTCAGGAGGAAAAAAAACGCAGTAAATTGAAGGAAATGCCGAAAAAAAAGTACCTTGCGGGTGGGTTTCTGAGGAAACACAGTATGGCCAGTGAGTTTCTTGGGAAACAAGGTATGGCGCGCGAGATTGCGGAGAAGATCAATTAATGGGTTTCTGATTTAGGAAACTTACGGAGTGATTGCTGATTAGATGTTGAATTTCCCAACGTTCACTTTGACCGGTGATCAAGTGTAAAACTGTAAATTGCTTGTGATCTTTTATTGGGCTTCACATTTAAATTTAATATTCTTGAGGAATTGTGCTCGTATTTTATTAATATTATACTATTTCTTTATCAAAAAATTATCTATGTTTTTATTTTTACACGAAAATACCAAATAAAATTTGGGATTTTTTTGGCCAACTGTACGTAGTTTGGGATATATCAATGTATGCATCTTTACATTAATTATAATTATATCCCTACCATATGCTAAATTAGTTTTTTTTTGTCAACTGATTAAACAACAATGGACATGGCCAAAAGAAAGGGGGAAAAAAATGACAATAAGTAGTTACGGATACATTATTTTTAATGAAAATACATAGTAACTGATTAAACAATTCAAGTTCATGTGATAATAGAAACTATAGTGCTAAGATCCAGCATGTATATAGAGAAGCAAACTATAGTGCTGATTGTCTAACTAAGTTTAGTTTTAATATTGACGGGGTGCTGAAGGTTTTTGACGAGCCTCCCCAACAGGTATTAGGTTGCTTGTACAATGACTTTGTGGGTGTTGCCTTCCCACGTTCAATTTTGATGCAATACGATAGGCTAAATGCCTCGTACTATTCACCAAAAAAGGAACTCTATATTGCCCTCAAAAGCTGATTTTGTTTTATATATATAAGCTGAATATTGAGAACAAACAGTAGATTATATTGCCTGCAATGCAATCTTAATAAGAAGCAATTTGCCAATGTGTGGTTATATTTAATTATGGTTATATAGTGCATCAGATTTACTTTTAAAGCTTTAAATTATTAAATTCTTGAGCTCTAAATTCTAGGGCTGTTAGAATCGGATGGATCAATCGGTCTGATTGGTAATTGACTTGTTACCCGGTTTGGACATCCATCAAAATGGAAGAAAAAGTGAGTTGGTCATAACTAACAAAAACCAATACCATTAAATTTGTCAATAACCCAAAACTGTGTTAGTTTATGTTTTTGTTTGTCTTTTACTTGCTTTCTCTTTAGTGTTATACTCCTCCAGTCCTTAATATAGAACCTAATTATTGAGTTAGTTTTAATCCTAAATATAAGACCCATTTCTCATATTTATTAATTTTTTTTAAATTACCCCTATGGATACTCTCTCAACCATAATCAAGTAGAAGAAGGAGAAGAGGTATTAAGAAAGATGATTATGGTGTTTTAGGAAAAACGTGTCACATTTCTTATAATTAACTAACTTACCTAACTTTCTTAATCTAATCAAATTAGTTAAATGGGTCTTATATTAAGGATCGAAAGAGTATATATATTTGATGGGTGTCTCTAGAGAGAGAGTTCTAGAGAGAGATGCTCTGCCTTCTTTCTTCTGGAGAAGAGTACACTGGTTTACTCATAGTTTCCTGGTAATTTTTCCAGTTCAAGTCTTTCTTTTCTTCCTATTTGCAGGTAAGTTCGACCCTTATTCTTGTTTGCGTATCTACTTTTTCTAGTGATTTTGTTCTCTTCGTTCCCTTCTCTTGATCACCTTTCAATTATCTTTTTATTTTTCTTCCCCTTCTTATATGGTTTTCTCACTCTCATTGGTTTTCTTTTCATCTCTCCTTTTTATACTGGCCTGTCCTTTTTCTCACCTTTTCTAGCCCTGACGTTTGATCTTTTTCGTTCGTTCTTCACTGCTTCTCTATATAATCTAAGCTCTCGCCCTTTCTTCTTCACACTTCTCCTCCCTGGCTTTGTTACCCATATGTTCCCTGGCTCTCTCAGCAGTTTCCTTTTCTCTCCTTCCTTTTTCCTGGTTTTTTCTTTTCTAAATTTTTCTTTTTTAAGCTTCACAATGACTCGGCAGTGAGATTTCAACCCAAAAAACTCTCCTTTCATCCTTCCCTGGGCCTCAACCCCAACTCTCTCACCTGCTTAACAAACATTAGATTAAAAAAAATAACTGTTGAGAATTTGATGTTAAAAATCAAAATTTTAATAAAATTAAATTTGAAATTTGAAATTTCTAGAGTTACAGCAACCCGCTTTTTTATTTTTTGGCCAGCATGGGCAACCGACTTAAATGATTATAATATATAAAATATTATAACTTATTTTTTTAATCTATGTTAAATGTTACTCAATCCATTTTCTTTTTATAAGATCTCAAAATTTGAATTGGTTTAGTCTTTTTTATAAGATCCTGCTTAAGAGTGTCTGAACATTAATTATAATGAGGTCCCAAGCAAGAAAAAACTTACAAAGCAAGTCTTAAAGATTATTATTCTCTACTTTAAAACTTGTCATTATAGGCTGCTCAAGTTGTTATTGGACCTTTTAGTAGTTATTTCTCTTGCATGGGACTTAATTATTTTTTATTTTAAATATTTAAGAAAGATATTTAATTATGGCTATATTTTAGAATTAATTTTAAAGCTTTAGATTATTAAATTACTTCTCAAGTCCCAAATAAAAGACCTATTTTGTGGTATAATTTAAGCTCTAAATTTCATGCTTGTAAGAATTAAACTTCCCTTATATTTAATATAGAAAGATATTTAATTATGGCTATATTTTAGAATTAATTTTAAAGCTTTAAATTATTAAATTACTTCTCCAACCCCAAATATAAGACCTATTTTGTAGTATAGTTTAAGCTCTAAATTTCATGCTTGTCAGAATTAAACTAGATCAACTATTGAGAATCAATCTATGGTCTAGTTTGAATATCTATATCTATATCTATCTATATATCTTATAAACCTTGTAGCTATTTTGTGATTGGTCCACATGGCAGTTTTGGGTGATAATTTTTTTTTTTATATCTCATTGGCCCTTGGTTGTTGATGTTAGCAGGTTTTTACTCTGCGGTTTTGTCCACTTAGTTTCATTATCTACTTTGTTGTTTTCTCCGCATTTGTTGATGAGTTCAATTTTCCTTCCCAGGGACTTTGGGAGTAAGTATTGATATGGGTCGTTTCTTTCTCCAAGTTCATGAATCAGCCGCATCGTTAGTTTAGTACTTTGATACTTTGATTGGTTAGCTTTATTTTCTCTGTCCACATGTGTGTTGTGCTTTTGGTTTCTCATGAATTGATTTCTGCTTCTCCACGTTTGGGTGAACTGACTGGTGCTTCTCCATTCGCTTGTGTTGATTATCAATACATGAATGATAGTCTGTTCCCATTTAAAGAGGGCTTTTGCGTTTTCCTTTGCATTTTAGTGGTGGGTGTTCTTATAAATATGGGGAGGTTGGTGGGGTTTTGCGATGTTGTTTTCTCTTGCTTATTCGAGTGTCCTTGGAGATTTATTTGTCGGCAATAAGATCTGGTTGTCATGGCGGATATTTCTAGGTAGGAATCGCCGTTTATATCTTTACAGCCACTCCTCTATAACTTCCTTTCGACCCATGAACCCACTCGTCTTGATCGAGGCGAACAAAGAAAGAGGGAGAATATAGGCTGCTTTCACTCAGTGATGGGGCATTACTTTTGGTAAGCTTTGTTCTCTAATTATGATGAGAGCTGAACAAAATGGTAGATCTGCTTCAGGCCTGATGATATTAAACAGACACAACTCTTTTTTATTCCCTTATTTCTTTTGTTTATACGCCACGCTCAATAATCCCTATTTGCATCTGTCTTTATATAAATGCTTTGTTTTACATTCCAGGTGTAATTCTATTTGGAGTCTTTTTATTTCCAGATTATTTAACTAAATAAATGTTTATATGAATATTTTTTCTGCTACAGCCATAGCTTCTATCGAAATAGCTCCACTAAACCCAATTGAATCAGAACCTATCAATTATATCACACGAAAGGTTTGAACTCCTTGCGTTATGTTGTGTTTTCACCCACATTTCTTGTGGGGATTAAGATGCTGAAAAAGCCATGAGAACACCAACAAGATTGTGTAGATGTGAATAATAATAGAATTTTGAATTAGATTGGCATCAGTCAGTGTTCCATATTCCGGTTCTAATTGGGTCTAGGTATAGATGCTTTTAGGAGAAAAAAATAATTGCTATTTGATTTTTTTTGAATGACTGAGATTGTTTTTATTCAGTTATTGAAAACATTATTTGCGCATCAATCAATAAATTGAAAGTTTAAATGCAATTGAAACATGTTAACACCTTATTTTTGTTTTAAGTTTGAAGTCATCACCCACCTCTTTATTTCAAATGATACATTACACGTTGCCCAAGTAATTAAATTGTATTATCAATTTTGAAAAACAAAGGAGAATATTATTTCAATGTTACTCCCTTCATATCTTTTTATAAGCAACAACTACTATCACTTTCTTGTTCCTAAATATAAACATTTGCAAGTTATCTTAAGTTTTGTAACAAATTTTCTATTTGTGTCTCATGAATTACTTATTTTAATACTCGACTCATTGGATGGGGTAGAACTTGTCATCAGGGCTGATGGAATCAAGCCCTCGTTTGATCGATTTCATGACAGGGTTCCAAACAGGGGAGGGAACTCTTCGCTGTTCATTCTTTTCTTTGCTGCTCTGATACCATATCAGAGATAAAGATTCAAAGTATATTTTCTGTATTATTCCATAGTAGAATTGGTACATAAATAGGATCAGATTTTCTTACAATATATTTGGAAATCTGATTATATTAAATAGAGCTTATGAGAGGGAATCCCCATAATTAGGGACCATGATTTGAGGTGATTTAGAAAAGAAAATTTACAGATTCTAAGGGATATG